TACAGTTGATCACCCATCAGTTTTCACCTATTTAATTTACAGTGTGAAAACCAAATCAAATTCCTGCTGTCTTCTCCAGATATTACTGCTGAAAATTTTTAAAACTAGGAATACTTGGAAGGCACATGTGAACTCCCTTCAGTTCCGGTACTCAAAAAACAAAATCCTAGGTTTAGAAATCTTTACTCCTAAAAAATTACAAAACTGGTATTTGACTTCTGCGCCTAGCTCCAGCTACTGAATCTCAAGATTCTTTTTCAAAAATGAAAAAGAAAAAGAAAAAAGCTGCATTTTGCCCACACCAGCTTTAAATACTGCCCAGGTCTTAGATCTGACATTATTCAAAACAGGAAAAAGCAAAAAGTAGAGAGGGAAATTCCCAGTTCCTGGGATGACATCATTCTTGCTAAATCTGCCCAGATATCGAAAAATAGCCTGCTTTCCTGCCCAGCATTGGGCATTAGCAGTGGTCTCGACAGGGGACTGGTTTCTCAAGCAAACAGCATTGCTTGAGAAAGTTACTTTTTGCAGACTACAGCTTCCAGCATGCCATGGTCAGCATTGCCATTCTGCTGGAATCTGCTCGCTGCAGATTTTCTACCACTTTTGCCATCCAATTTATCCTGAATCTCACTGGTTTCCACCATTCAAAGTGCCTTCTGGGTCACTGTCCCAAAGTAACTGAATTTTTTCTCTGACAACCAAGGAGAGTTTTGGTCCTGGGGCTCTTGCTTGGAGCTCCCAAATGTCTCATCCTGAGATGACTGGGTAGGTTTCAGCTATTTTATGATGCTGTGGATTACTTTGCCTGGTCCAAGACATGACATCCTTCACTCCATCATTTCCTCCCCTTTCTCTCAACCTGCACAATGAGAACTCCCAGAAGATTGCTGGTCTTTTCTTAATCCTTCGTCTTTTCCCCATCTCCTGCTGCCTCCGCTTAAACATAGAGATGGTAGAGAAGAAAGACTTCAAAATCCTGAGATACAGTGCCAGTCAGGTTGCAGCCACTGACAAGTAATATGACCTCTTTTTTGTAATGAATAGAATTCAGGGCAGTCGTTCCTATTTGCGCTGTCCCGGTCTTATTGGACTACAAGTCCCAAGATGCCTGGCCCTTGCCATGCTGGCTAGATCATCTGAGAGGTGTGGGTCACCAGTAATGTTGTAGCATATTAATGCCCTCTTCTGAGCTGGAGGATGTCCCAGTTGAGGAGAGCAAGTGTCCAGAAGAGGCTACAGGTGGTCAGCACCATGGATAGTTCAATGTGGCATCAGGTAGCATCGCCAGAGAGCCTGCAATGTACCTCTTGGAGCAAGTAATGAGTTTAAAAGCCAAAGGACAAGTGATATTAAATGGAGCACTTGGAGGCACACCAACATTGTTCAAAAATTTAATAACGCACCTGGAGGACATGTCATTGTTGCCTCAGGCAACAAGAGCAGAGGATTAACTCTACCCTTTATAACCACAAACTGAATGAATTCTACCACCACCACCATGCTGCTGGTTGTGCACTCCCTGATCTTTTCCCATCACCATCCCAAGGCTAATAGTAGGATATCATGACAGAGAATAAAATCTTCAGCTGGGGAGGGTAGGGTTAAAACCCTTCCTTCCTCCCACTGCAGTCCCAATAAACAGCAGGTCCCCTCTCAGCTCAACCATTGTTGCTATTGTTCTTTTTTACACCCTGATATGTGTTATAACAAATTCCGGGAGGCAGTGGAAGACAGGAGGGCCTGGCGTACTCTGGCCCATAGGGTCATGAAGAGTCAGACCTGACTTAACGACTAAACAACAACATGTTTTATAAGGGATACCTGAAGCTCCATGAATACTTTGGCCCCAAGCAGTTCTGCAACCAGGTATATGTCTTGTGCTCCATTCTTTCTGAGGAAAGCTGTTTGAGCTCAAAGGTGCTGGGCCGTATCCTGAAAGTGCCTGATCCAACAGAATTGAAAAGCCCCAGAAGAAGGAAAAGACCCGTCTTAAACCTCAAGTGGGTCTGCAGCTTCATCCTCAGAGGGGGGTTCTGTGCAGGCCTGCTGGCTTGTGCACCATGTTCTGGCCTATGGTGGTCCCTAGCTGTAGGAGGAGTCTTTAGCTCAACGGCATCATCAGAGGTTCTCCTCTCTTTCCCAGATCTAGTCTTCTGCACTCTCCAAATAGTCAGAACTCCTCCTCTGCTTCTCCAGATTGCATCTCTTAGGACTCATCCAGAGTTAAACTTTAAGTAAAGCAGATGGGCAAAAGCCCTTCATTGTGGTGCAGTCAATTCAGTCTATGGCAGGGTGCGATAGAGGTGGGCCTTTTGTATTTAACAAAAGCTCAAGACTCAGACCTGGAACATTTTGTGTAATTTGTGTAATTTGTGTTCTTTAGTTGACTGCCAAAAGGGAGCCTCTTAAATACAAATGATGTGTGTTTATGAAATGGAGTATGCAGAAGTTATGGGGATTTTTGTGTATTTCTTTCATTTTCCCATCTTTTTTGTAACCTTTCATTCACCCTTTACCTGACAAATTGCCCAAGAAAGATTTCATCCAATACTGTTGGCCCTAGGACTATCACCAGCTAATCAGAACATCTGAGGGGGGAGTAGGAGTTTTGAATCCTTAGAAGGGCCTGCAAGCCAGTGAGAATGCTCTGTTTGGTTCAGCCATTCCTTGTGGATGGGATTATTATGTGCTAAACTCTTAGTGTTCTCTAACATGGATTTCTGCCTCTGCTTGGCTGCCTGCCTGCCTCCATTTTGGAGGGAATTTTCTCCTACTTTTTTGGATTATTTTTGCTAGTGATAGTCAGCCTGCCTTTGCCAGCACGTCTCCTTGAAATTGTTTTTTGGATTGTTTTTGTTCTTGCCTGCCTATAGTTGTTTGCATGACTCAAAGGAGAAAAGAGAAGGCATCAGATGCTAGAAGGGACAGAGCCCTCCCCATATTCTAGTAGTTTTGCTTGTTAAGAGAGCTCTGATTATATTTTGCTTGCTTACTCACTTTTCTTGGTTTTAGGGAGGGGGGGCTGTGTGTAGGAAATTTTCCTCCCAACCTTTTTCCCTGTGTAGCCATGCTTTCTCTGTGTGAGTGATTGATCTTTTAAATTTGTTATTTGGTTAATTTAGGTTAAAGGTAAAGGTTCCCCTTGACATTTAGTCCAGTCGTGTCCAACTCTAGAGGGCAGTGCTCATCTCCGTTTGCAAGCCATAGAGCCAGAGTTTACGTGGTCACGTGGCCAGTGCAAGTAGACATGGAACGCTATTACCTTCCCACTGAGGTGGTACCTATTTATCTACTCACAGTTTTACATGCTTTCAAACTGCTAGGTTGGCAGGAGCGACGGGGGCTAACTCCGTCACGTAGATTTGATCTTACGACTGCTGGTTTTTTCTGACCTTGCAGCCCAGAGGCTTCTGCGGTTTAACCCGCAGTGCCACCACGTCCCCAGTTGGTTAATTTATTGTGTATTAATTGTGATAAAATCGTGTATTTTGGTGAGAGTTTCATGGACTGTTGTGTTTGCTTTTGTGGGGGTGTATAGGCCAGGGTATTTGATTTTGTGACTATACTAGTGTGCCAGTGGGGCGTGTGGGCATTTCTTTCTTGTTGTTCTTGATATTGCTTTAGTGTATGGGTGTCTCTGTGTGCCAGGCAGTCAGGACCTGACTGGTTGGCTGCTTCCTTGCCGTTTTTCTCTTATGCTGCCCAGGCTCAAAGGGTCTCTGCTGTGCTGGGTGGGTGGCACTGAACTCTAATTCTTGGCTGCTTTACTGCTTTTTTAATTGCTTGATTGGATGGGTCAGGTTCTTTTGCATAAATTTAATGCTGTTTTTCCCCCTTTCTCATGTACTGTTACCTCCTTTTGGAGTAGATTGATTGTTGCCTTACCTCATTTTTTGGGGTGTGTGTGTGTGTTTTTGTAGTCGTTTTTAAGGGTTTGGGGAAACTTTTGGAATGTCAGAAAACATAAATGGGAAACCTGAAACAGATGACCTAAAAAAAGCTCATCTCTTTTGTGCAAAATGAATGGACTGGTACACAAAAATATGAAAACAAAAGTAAATGAAAGAACCTGAAACAAAAGACATACAAAAATTACTACCATGCACATCCCCGATAGGAAACATTCTGCTCTGTGGCCAGACTCCACCCTCTGGGCTTTCTTAGATGCCATACACCCTTCCTAGGATATCAAGATTTGGTGGTTTCCCAGGGTTTTTACTCTCTCCCCCCACCCCAGTTCTTAAAAACTGAAATGCAACCCCTGATGCTTAATTACTGGTGGCAAGAGCTTTGACTTGAATCCACTTGCTGTTCCCAACTAGAGGAGACCAACTGAACTAGTAGGATTTATGCTAGTTTATGCTAGAATTTATTTTACCAGTTGATTCAGTGGATCCACTCTATTTGGGACTAACAACAACATCGTTTTTATCACAGCCTTTCTCCCTTGGCCCTACCCACTACTGCAGTATGGCTTCCAAGAATGTCTTTAAATTAATTCCATTGCCTAAATGAGGTTCCCTATCAGTACTCAAGAACAGGGTTGTAGGGGCACGAATAGAACAAAATGGGTACATGTTACACATCTGAATCCTACACCTCGCCTTGAATATTGGAGTGACTAAGATCGAGTGGGAGAGGTGCATGACATGGAATTTCCACCTGAGCTCCTCCAGCACTCATGCAGCTATGAAACCCTTATGTGGTTTTCCTGTCTGATCTCAGCATGGCAAAGGGAGCCACTCGACTTCCGAAATAATGAATCCTCACATTCTCATTTGTAGTCAGGCAGAAAGTTCGGATTCCTAAGTGGGCCATGCCAATGATGTTTCCACCACCACTCTCCAGAGGTGGGAAATGGTGCTTTGTTCGTACCACAACCCCACAGCCCAGTCTGATGAGATGCAGGGAAAATCAAGAAGAGTTGGAAAGCTCCAAGCTGAGCAGAAGATTCCCAGTATTGTCTGATGGCATGATTTTTCTCATGTTGCACGCAGGGGCCACCAAGGACATGGGCAAAATGCTGGGCGGGGAAGAGGAGAAAGACCCTGATGCCCAGAAGAAGGAAGAAGAGAGACAAGAAGCCCTGCGCCAGCAAGAGGAAGAACGCAAAGCAAAGCATGCCCGCATGGAGGCAGAGCGGGAAAAGGTCCGGCAGCAGATCCGTGATAAGGTGAGTGACTGGCTTGCTGGTTGTCAGTAAAAGGCCACGTCTTACGTGTAGTCCTTCCGTGAGTTTATGCATGTACAAACATGTACACATATACACACATACACAGTAAAACTGTTCAACTGTAGAGCAGGTTACCTCAGAATGTGGTGGACTCTTGCACTGGATGTTTTTAAACAGAGGTTGGATGACTATCTATTAGGGATTCTCTAGCCGTGGCGCCTCGCACTAGGTAGACTAGATGGCCCACAGGGCCTCTGCCAACTCTATACAGTTCTACAATTGCTCTTCTCCCTCTGCTCTTAGCAGCCAGCAAAAAGCCACCTACATCCAGATTTCTGTGGACTGAAGGGAGACGTCAGAAAATTCCATTTATATGCCTCCTTAGAAATGCCTCCTTCCGGCTCTGACAATCTTCATATTTATTGTAGTGGCCGTAGTTCAGCTTTTGATGCTGAGGGAAGTTACCCTGCTATTGGCAGTCCTGGTTCATTCATCCAGCCGCAACACAGCTTCACTCCCCCACCCCACCCTCATTACACACACACACACACACACACACACACACACACACACACACACACACACACACACACTAGCTCTGTACCCCTCTGTTATCACTTTTATGGTAGGGCATTCTTGTTGCTGTTCCCAGAAAAGCATTGACTTCCCCCCCCCTTGACCTCAGTAGCAATCCTGAGAGCCTGCACTGCAGGAGTGACAACTCATTCAGCAGACATCACATCTGCGCATCCTGGACCTCAGAACTGCTGTCCCCTCGGGGCCTCCATGCACACACTCCTGAATGATTCTCTTCTTGTCTGCAGACTCCGTTCCTGCTCAGGCAAGAGGAGACCTGTTCATGAGTTTGTGGCATGTGGGGCTGGGAACCACCATGCTTTTGGGAGGCAGCAAAGAGTTTTTGCACACTGCCATCCTGCTTTTGTCCTAAATATTGGCCCGTCTTCTGACTGATTTGTAATGTGAGTGTGGCGGAAAAGGAAAGCATAGATGATTGGAAATAAAGAGAACAACAGTGACCAAATATACTTAACTTTCTGCATAGACTTAATATGCACTGGAAACCAAAACAAACTATCAACTAACTGTGTGTCAGCAGACAGACTTGGCAAAGGAAGGCTTGATAGTTAACACACTGGGCGAACAGAAGAATCATCTCCTGTTTTCATGATTAACAGAGACTGAACGTCAGAGGCATCGGCAGGAAGGCTCCAGACTCTCTATAAATCCTTTGTCCTCTTTTCTAGGGTCAGCCTTACATGCTGCCTGAGGGCTATATGCTGCAAGGCTGACAGAACATTCTTCTGAAAAGCACTTGGTGGGACAGGAAGATTTTCTGTCTGTTGGATGTGTAGTTTGGGAGTTGGAAGTCATGACTTGATTTAGTTGCTCAGTGATGGAACCCGCAGGGCCAGCCCAACTTTTTGGCAGAGTAAGTCAACAGCCTCAAGGGGCAGATGCTGCAGAGCAACAGGGGCCGTCTCCCAGCTGCTGCTCCTGAACTTCCCATTTCTTCGTCTCTGTTAAAGGACAGAGCTATGTATGCCATACAATCTGTATTGCTCCTCTGAGCCATCCTGGTGCCCCAGGCGTGGTGGAGGAGGCTGCTCCATCACAAGCCCTGAAATGAGACTAACCCCCATTTGGGGCAATTTGTGTTATAGGGATTAGGGAAGAGATGCCCTTTTTTTTCTTTTGTGTCAGACAACAAAGTGTCTTGGGCTGCCTCTGGAAGCATGCCTGTGTAAATCAGATCTTAGAATTACATGTATGCAAGACCTGTATATCCGTGCCGGTCTGACTAGAGGTCTACCTGTCTGTAAGCCTCTTCTGTTCTTGCTGTTCTGTGCCGTCAAGTCAGAACCAACGTATAGCCACCCTCGTAGCTGTTTCAAGGAGAGATGATTAAGGAGTGGCTTTAGCAGTTCCACCCACCCAGTGAATGTCCATGGCTGAGGCCTCCTGAGTCCTAATCTGTCACTTTATCCACTACATCACCTAAGCCTAAGAGTACCTAAGCCTCTTTTAGGTCACTCAAGGTACCATCATCAGAATGATGATGTGAAGGTAATTAGGGGCCTTTGCTGAGTCTCTTCTCATTTCAGACACGGGCATCCCATTGCCTTTCACTCTGGAGACTACAGTACAGGGAGAGGGCAGGAGGCTCGGCTGACTCCGCTGTCCTTGGACAAAGCAAGGACACAATCTCCAGAATTTAGCAAGAGACAAATGCATGTGTACAAACAAGCAAATAATGTGTGATCTTGGCTGTCTTTTTTTTTTAGCTGATTAAATTGTTACTTTCTAGTTTTTACAATTAACAGTTGCTGGTTGATGAATGTGTGTCGTCAAATCAATTCTGGCTTAGGGTGACCCTTTTCTATTTATTGAGCACTCTATCAGTTGTTTATCATTCCCTTTTCCTGAAGGGTGCCCTGGGGCTGTGCAGCTTGTCCAAGGCTACACAGGCTGGCTGTTCTCCTAGGAGGCACAGTGAGGAATCAAAATCCAAACTCCAGGAACCCAACACCTGAGCCGTCCTGGGGAGGGACAAAGAAACCTTTCCTTGCCAGCGAACTTCCCAGAGGCACCTGCAGGTTGGCTGCAGGATGTTGTTGAATTAGATCAGGACTTCCTCACCCGATCCAGGAGGGCTCTTCCGATGTTTTGAATAGAGTTTACAAAAGTTGCTTTCTAGACTACAGCTCCCATTACCCCCTAGCTGGCATGGCTAGTACTTATCACAAGATAGAGACATTGTACTGTATCCAAACCGATCTATGCCTGCAACATTGGCATCAACCCTGGAAAGTACATCAACTTGACATCTGGTGAAAAGTCCTTATTCCTAAAAGGTTACTCCTCCCTTTCCATCACCCTCATCTGTGTGTGTGTGTGTGTGTTTTCTGATTCATAGCCCCACTCCTCACTTGCACCATCCTTGCATCTGTAAGAGCAACATTAGGACCTGGCGCTCTTTATCTGCCATCTTCAATATCCTGTCACAGTAGCAGATAGCAGAGAAGGTGCTGCCTGTGCCTAGCCCACAATATTGTGCCAGCTGGAGGAGATGGGAACAGGAGATTCCAGCTGATACGAAAGAACACGTGGCACAGTGTGTCTTTAATTCCACTGTAAGTTCAGCTTGCCAGATTTTGCATGGCTCCAGAGTTTCCATGAGGGGCTTGTGTCTATCATCCTAATGAAAGTGGAGGAAATACAGTGGTGCCTTGCTTAACGATTGCCTCATTAAACAATGAAACCGCTATACGATGGCTGTTTTGCAATCGCAAAATGATGTTTTAATAGGCAAATTTCGCTTCCTAATGATCGGTTCCCTACTTTGGGAACCGATGTTTCACTAGACGATGTTTTTAAAACAGCTGATCGGCTGCCTCAAAATGGCCGCCCTCTGTATAAAATGGCTCCCCGCTTTGTTTTTGGACGGATTCCTCGCTTTACAGGCACCGAAAATGGCCGCCCCATGGAAGATCTTCACTGGATGGTGAGTTTTCAGCCCATTGGAATGGATTGAACGGGTTTTCAATGCGTTTCAATGGGATTTTTTATTTTGCTTAACGAGGATTTCGCTCTACAGTGATTTCGCTGGAAGGATTATCCTCGTCAAGCGAGGCACCACTATAATATGTAATGCCACAGGCACTTTCAACTATGATATTCTAACCTGGGCTGGGTGGTGTGGCACCTTCCAGATGTTGTTAGACTGCAACTCGCTTCAGTTCCAGGCCGCATAGCCACTGATGAAGGATGATGGGACTTGTAGTTGTATGATATCTGGAGAACCCTAGGTTGCCCAACTTTCTCTGACAAGATGAGAACTGTTGTTCCTGAAGACGTCAGCTCAGCCCTGTCTGTAGATCTTTTCCTTGGGAACTATGAGACCAGATAGGGCACTCGGTTGCTGCCCACAGACTAGCTTGGCTGGCAGATTGATTTAGAAATGCCTCCCCATCTCACTGTTGTTTCACTACTACCACCCCTGTTGGCAGAACCCCAAAGAGTTCTGTAGCACTGGCAACAATCTCGGCTTTGAGGCGTTCTCAGGACCAGATGCTGAGGGTAAGGTCACCTAGGAATAGCCTTCGCTGCCTTCAGTCAAGACTAGAAATGTTACATTTCAAGCACAACGTAAGCAATGAGAACAGTTATTTTGTTAGAAGAACAAGTAACTTTTTCTAGTTACTTTTTAATGAATTTCTTTCAAAGGAATGCTGAGAGAGGTGTTTTGGGAGGGATTTTTTTTCAATTTTATGTTATCTTTGTAACAAAATGTTACAAAGAATGATGAAGGAATATCAAGCAGTTCAACAAGCAATACAAGGAGTTACTTTTAAAATACTGTAATTAAACAACAACAAGCAAGAATCCTATTGGTGTTCATGCAATGTTTGTATAACATGCCATGGCTAATGAACAAGGTGCTGCATCAAGCACCCCATTGCATAACCAAGATGTACTGAGGCATCTCAATAATTCACCACAGTAAATTACACAAACTTTATGCAAGCACTGATAGGATTCTGGCCAATGAATTATTTTTAAAATACTATAACAACCAACAGAAATTGATATCTTTTTTAAAAAGTAACTTTCCAAGCTCTAGCCTAGACCTTCCTCCCTTGGCCTGTTTCTGAACTCTCTCTCCTAACCCTTGCAGTATGGCCTAAAGAAGAAAGAGGAGAAAGAGGCAGAGGAGAAGGCAGCCCTGGAGCAGCCGTGCGAGGGGAGCCTGACGCGTCCCAAGAAAGCCATCCCAGCAGGCTGCGGCGACGACGACGACGAGGATGAGGAGAGCATCCTTGACACAGTGCTCAAGTACCTGCCCGGTCCACTGCAGGACATGTTCAAGAAGTAACAGCCATGCCTGCAGCCCCACCTGCCAAGCCCTGGCACTGCCCACTTAGTGCCTGGGTTAGGGCCTTGGGTGGGGTAGGGGGGGTTTCATTTCCTTCTTGACTTCATTTGATCCTCTCTCTTTTTTTTCTGTTTTGGGTTCTGTTCCAAGGGGAGATCTTCACACACCTGTCCTTGTGCCACGGGGGGCCCTGCCAAGCCACCACCCACCATCACCCGTCTCCAGGAGAAGCACACCGGGCACAGGACATTCTCCCCTTCCTGCACCTCCCATTACCC